CAAGCTTTATTCGATGTATTAATCATCTCTTATTTCGTTGTGAACTTCATTTGCTTGTAGGAGCAAAATAATGCACAAATTGTTCTCATAAATTAAGGAAGGATTGCCTTGAAGTTGTTATTGCATAATTATGCGAATAAGCTTTTAGACATAGCCTCATGGTCCCGCTTGATCTTTTCTAAGCTTTCGTATATCCTGACAGAAACCCTCAGGGTCTAACCCTCTTCAAATTCCTGTCAAGAGCTCAGCATTTTCATCGGAGCAATCCAGCAGTCACAAGCATGAAATAATCCTTCCACGATGTGTGATAATATCAATTCTCGATTCTTGTCAACTTGTACATATGAGATAAGAGGTGTGGCGATGTCAATTTATTGAGAGCTTACTCGATACCCAGCTACAAAATAATCTCAACTATTTACATCCAACATGTTCCGCTACGCCTGCCTGGGTTGCATTGACCTTCATTGACATACATTCCTATACTGCATGATCAGATGTGCAATTTCTCATATCCATATTGCACCCGTTTTGGTGTGATGAGCTCCGTAGGTCGTCTTGCGTTCCATGTGGGCCATGGGCCAATTTGAGCTCGTCTCAAACGAGTCATTCCGGATACCTGAGTTTGCGCAATCTAGCCAACAATCCAGAATATTCGGAACAAGAAAATTTGGTGCGCTAAGTAAGTCAATTTAAGTGTACTGAAGCCAACATTGCATTTTGTGGCTTCCATTCGGATCTCACTATGATCTATCTCAAAGGCGGTATGATTATTTATAATAAAAACTATCTTGCTTTCCCTTATGGCTCCAGTATCGTTAATAATAACAACAACAACTCCTTCCTGTTATTTGTGAACGCATATGTGGAGACCATGAGGTGCTGTACCTAGGGTCATTCTTGTGCCTTATATATAGGGTTCACTAAAAACGGACAGGTGGGTATAGCTCCTGGTTTCTAAACCATTATAGCCATGTTTTCCGAGTCACCGTCATCCTCCCAGCTGAAATACTTCTGGTGGATTAGTTTCTACTATCTAGCGAAGAAAGGCCCGGCATTGTCTCCCAATGCGTTGATAATAAGGCTCGCAAAACATTAAAGCCCAGGTTTGGCGTTAATTGGGTATAGGTGTTAACCATAACTATTTCTTTGCGGATCATATATTAATTTACATTAAGCAATAATGCATTATGTACATATGATAACAATCTTTTAAGATATGAAATAATGTTTGCAAATTAATAGATAAGTATCGCGCTATCGAAGCGACGTTTCCACGCTCTTCCGTTTGAAATCTTTTTTGTTTGCAAGATTGAACCGACAAGCAGCATCGGGCAATCGTAGAATCCTATGAAAAGAATCTTGGACGAATGATCCAGTTACACTCATAAGGCCAGAAGAAGTAACTTGACCGTTCCGCTTTTGCGAAAGGTCAGACAGTTTTTGTGTTATAGTCTGGTTGAAAGGTCTGGAAACAGGAACTTTAATGCTGTTAATTTCATTCAAAGAGACAGATGGCATATAAGGGATTTCATCTGTCACGAACGACGTATCTAGATTTTTTCGCTTTAAATCTAACTCATTATTGTTGGATGGATTATGAAGGCCACAGAAAATTGAGCTTACAGCTGCAGAGTTGGATGGGCGAGCGTTTAGAAGACATTTAGCCAAAAACAGTCTTGAAACAGAAGACTTGGTGCGAACTCTTGAGAGTATTGACTTTGATGTATTTGTCCTGCGTTGTCTAGCAATCCAGATGGAATCCTCACATTCAGAATCCGTAATTTCATTTAAGTTTAGTACTTGGTTATTTTCAGATGTCTTAATTATAAGTTGAACAGTAGGTCGGCATGGTGAAGCGAGCTTATGATCAAATGAATCTTTGAGGTCAGGTGTGATAAGCTCCATTGCCTCCAAGCCAGTTCCTTGCACTCGATGGAGAAGATGAGGTGAGTGACTAGCCCCAAACGAAGATACTGCTTTTGTCACGGGCTCAGACAACACATGTGATGCCAGGATTACACCTGAACAGATCCCAGCATGACCATCTTTTGGCTGAGGTATACAACTTGTCACGTGTTTCTCAAAGTTCGATTCGGCTGAATAGATAAATAAGTAATTTCTTTATGTATATAATTCATGGAAATATGAAAATCAACATTAAAAATGTGGGGGTAAATAAGAATAATCTTAATATCCACAAAATGGACTCCAAAAAGTCCGAAAAAGTTGATAACAAGTTCGTATGATTTCACTTGTTACTTTTTACTATTTATCAAGA